AGGCCAATTATTGCCGATCATTTAATGTTGGTCAATTGATTGCAATCTGACGCAGGTTTTAATCTGACGTACAACATCTATATTTGGACGTTTCCTCCTGTTACAAATACCGAAATACAGATTATCATAAAATATTATTGGTTATGAGCATGGCATTATGTTTAATTGTCCTCTGCGTTTTGCACTTACAGAACATACCCGTAATTATTGCTATTTCTTAAAGGTTGAATATCGATACGATTTTGGTACCGTAAGGGAATACCTGGAATTGTTAATTTCCAAATTTCATTTTCATAAACAGATTATAAGAATATGATATTGTCTGTTTCTAAAAGTGAAATTTTCGAAAACCAAGAATTTCAGGGTTTCCCTTTGCGGCAATTATTTGAATGGTACTAAAAATTTAATTTATGTTAGTAATTTCACAAATAATTTTATAGAGAATAATTTTACAAAAGCTTTTATTTTAAAGCAGTTTCATCAAATTATCTGCATCAATTTATCTAGTAAAAAATTATATGTAAAATTTAGTTGTCAAGAAACATAATTTTACTAGATAAAATGTTATTAATTAGTTAGCTTAATAAAATTAAAATTTAGAACCCGTGGTCTTTAAGCATAATAGTACCGCTCGGATTCTTAATTTTAAGGCTGCTGATTCGGGTTTAATAAGGTGCAAAAAAAACTTTCCGAATAATGATTAAAGATCAATCATAGTAAATTATGTCCTTAAAAAATTATTGTGCTTTGCAAAAAGATGTAGTCACTGCAGTTCACAATGTCATATGGGAATCGGAGATTCCATCAATTTTAAGAATTTTATCAATTTCCAAGAGATTTTCACTACAGAAATCATGTGGCCACATTTTTTTGCAAAGCGTTATAAACAAAAAATGAAGGAGTGCTGCGAATTTCCGATTGTGAAGACACATTTGATAAATTCTGAACGTGTATGTTGTGGAATTATCTGTTTAAATTAACAGCTGGTATTCTAGTGTAAAAGTTAGCCAGAAAATTCCAAATTACTAGTTTTTTTTTTTATATTCATCATTGAACAAGAATTATTCATTCTTGCTTATTTCTTGCAAAAATGAAAATTCTTTAATATCGACCAGAATTAAAATCGATATATTAATTCAAAATTACTGCCTATTAAAGAATTTTTTAGTTTGCAGGGAATAAGATAGAAATAATTCAACTCAATAACTAGTTATGCCAAAATTTTGCATAATTATTTACAATTCGTCAAGGGCTTTATTGCATATTAAGCTTTCTTTAGAGGTTGCGTGTGGAAACATTTTATCAAGAATATTAAAGTATTTACAAATTTTGCATAAATAAATCAACCAATACTTCTATCGATTATGCGAATTACAGAAAGTGAGTATAATTCCAAAAAAATACAAACTTATTATGCATGTAAACTAGTCAATGTACTTAACAACTTTATATATTAAAGCATGTGAGTATATTTTTCAAAATATTCTCAGAGCTTAAGAATATTTGATATGTATGACCAATTGTTCAATAAATTATAGGTAATAATAGCATCAACGGAAGAGTTTGAAATATCAAAACATCTTCAAGTCCAATTAGAAAAAGCAATAAAAGACGCGAATAGGTCACCAGAACACGAAAAAGTCAAAAACTATCGCCAAAAGATTAATAAATATTTTAAACACTTTGAAGAATTTGACAAAAAAGCTTCGAAATTCGAAGATTTTGATTATATCAATTCAGCATATGAAATTCTTTTCTGTCTAGCTAATTTAAAAAGCGCTTGCTCAAATGAAATGAAATTGTCAATTGGAGAAATTGAGAAGTATTTGCCTGACTGGATTAATTGCTGTACTAAAATTACTGCCAAATTTAAATTTTACGAAGACTTTAGTAGTAATTTTATTATTGAAAATAATATAAAGAACAACCTTTTGTTTTTCGGGATTCAAGAAGAATTGTTGACTGAAATCAATGGAATTAAAACAAACTTACGTGAAAAGTCTGGCAAATTGAACAAATCTTTTTTCAATAAAAGCCGTAAATATGATGAGGTAAAGAATTAATTATCACTTTCTGATAGCAATGTTATACTTATATCTTTTATTTTTTAAAAAAAAAACAAACCAGGAAATATATTCAAACTTCCTTCTTATTATTGGATTAAAATCTATATATGATTTGGTTACTGAATTAGAAGATGCAAGAATTAGATTCAAGCTTTTAGATCCAATATTTAAAAAAATAATAGGTTCGTTTTCAATTTATATTTTTAATAAAATAATTAATGATAATAATTTGTACTATTCGAACTTTTTGTTATACTATAGATTTTTGGAAAGAGCTTACTCATGAACTGGAATCAAGTAAAGAATTAGTGAAAATTTTTAAAGAAAGTGAATCTTATGTGAAAGAATATACTTTTCGTTGTATTATAGAAATTTCTTCAAAAATAGTTTGTTTAGGCTGCCATTTTTTTAAAAATTTGAGGGTAAAAAAGATTGAAAATAACTAAATTATTTTTTAAGAGATAGATGAAAAGGCGAAGGATGCTGAGAATATATTATTATGATTATTATTATGATTGTTTCAAATATTATTTAAATAAATAGTATAAAGTTTATTTTTACAAGAAACTGAGTGATATGAAATTCGGGTATCCGTCAGCTTTATTTTTAATTATAATAAAATTATTATAACTATCTTGATATAAATTTTAATACCAGGGTTTCAAAGTTAACTTATTTTGAAAATAAGTGAGGATTCGAAAAGTCCTATTTTTGTTTGAAATTTTGATATCAGAAAATGAAAAAGGTGTTATCCGGAGATAAAATAAACAAACTTTTAATGATGTATATTATATTTATTATATAAATAGGCTTGTAAATAAAAATAAATAGGATTATCTCTAAAATCAGAAACGGTGATTTTTGTATTAAATGAAGGCTATGTCTATAAAAATGTCAGTGAAGCGATGTTAGATGAGAGAAATCCCAATAAACCAAAAATTAATGGACTTGTTATAAATTGACGAAAGGTTCATTTTATAAGTTGGAGCCTTAATTACCGTATTCCTCCGAAAATAAGCACCCTTTTTTGCTATAAGGTTGCTTATTTTCGGGTATGTTCTCAACTAATAATTTGAATGATTTGATATTTAGTTACTTATTTCTATTATATAAGAGGTGCTTGTTTTCGGGTATGTGTGAATTGTAGGGGGTGCTTATTTTCGGAGGAATACGGTATTATGGCCTTAAATTTTAGAGATGCTATTAAAATTTGTGAATGATCATAAAAAGCTATCCTTATTTTCGCAAGCAGTTAAAATAAAATGTGTAAATCATTAAAGGATTAGCACGTAGCGTTATTTAACTTTAAAATTTTGCTATCTTTTTAAATCAATTTCACCATTGCTTATAAAATTTCACCAAAAATAACTCTCACAATTAATATTATTCAAATTTACTCACCATCTCCACTAGCCTATTCTTGAATATGACCGGTTATAACTGCTCTGTATTTTCATTACTACTTTTAATATACGTATTATGAGTAATTGGTATAACCTAAGTTTACTAGGAAAGTATGGTATAACTGATACATCAGCTGTGTAAGCAAGTTGATGTATTTTTTCAGTAAATTTTGCTTATTCAAGCGGGATATAATAAGACAAATTCCTCAAACATACAGTAGTCTTCACATAGTGCACACGAGTATTATTTAATAAAAACTCCAACATGTATGCAGTGACCAACAGTAATTAAACTTTAAAACTAACTCGAGTTCTACACATACATATCGGTTATGGATAAGACAATTTATTTAACAATATCTCACAAATCGTATGTTAAATTTTCTATAAATTAATAAAGTATAGATAATAATAAATTTATCTATTTAAGAAATTTTATGATCAGTAAATTCACCTAAAGAAGCAGTAACCATTAAAATTATCGCACAAAGATGCACTTTATGATTAAATTTTGACTTAATATATGTTGTTAGTCCAATAAGAATTTTTTTAAAAATTTAATGTTGAGTTTATTGCTTGACCCTGTGAGCACAAAATATAAATATTGTTATTACATCTCAGTTACTATTGATTCCACCAGAATTAATTTAGCCGACTGATTATTTTTTTTTAAATTTAAATCTCTAGAATTTATAAAGCATTATAAAAAATCGTGACATCCAGTGTATGAGCTGGTTTGGTCAAAATCCTGACAAAAATTGACCGGAATTATGGCCAATATTAACCTAATATGGGCTAACCTGTGGAGGTTTTGACCTTGCTGAGATTTGTTTGTTGGAATTTTGACCAGACCATTCTTGAGTAGGCGCAGAACTTATTATAACGGTATAATGAGATCACAAAAATTTCACTGCAATTGTAATCATAACTCGCGTGACTACATTTTCAATTATCAGCAACTCTGGACCAAATCATGACTCTGACTCACAAACAGATGATCTGCTCATCTTCGTCAATATTAGTCATGAGCCGAACTGAACCAGCAATTTTGCATTATTATCAAGCACTCAATGCTGTGATTAAATTTAAATATCAAATAGCCTTAAAATTTTCAGTAGCAATGTATTAATCCCAATATCAAATTAGGTAAAATTTAACATAGAAGCTTTTATTAATCTAGGCATTTTAAAATATGCTATTCAAATTAGTGAATATATATTTACTATTAAAATTCATGTAGAAAATTTATTAATCTAAACGTTTAAGAGGGAATCAAATTTGTGAATCTTTACTCTTTACTGTAATTTTGTTCTGTTGCTAGGTGAAGATTATTTATTAATTTAAGCATTTAAAATACTGTAATCAATGATTGTTTCAGTACTACTTAATTGTATAATTTTATTTATTTATGTTAATTTAGAAAATAAATGTATCTATTAATGAGTATTAAAATAACTAAGTCAAGTTCATGAATATTTTCACAATATAAAGAGTATTTATTAATCAAAGAATTTAAAATGGGCAATTTTAATTCATAAATATTTGCTGCTTAATTTCATTTTACTCACACAAATTTGAAGAAAATAATGTTATTAATCTAAGTAATTAAAATAATCGATTTATGTTTATGAATATTTACTTATTTCTTTTTATTTACATTGATAAATTAGGTGAGTATAAAAAGCATTTATTAATCTAAAAATTTGAAATAAGCGACTCAAGTTCATGAATATTTGCTGCTTAATTTATTTTACTCATGTAAGCATAGAGATCATCCTTGCAGAAATCTTACATTTTTGCAATAGCGACAAAATATCATAGATCTGGTGTAAATTATTAATAATATAAGTCTTAAGAGGAAATTTTTATAGTAAATCGCAAAGTTGGCTTCTTTATAACACTATTAACGAGGTATTAACAATGTTTTTTACGATGTATGAAAATTACTACTTTTTCATTCTCAGTCAAAAAAACCTTGTTAATAGTGCAGTAAGAAACAAATTTGCGATTTTCTCTTAAAGATCTACTAATAATTTACACTAGAGCTAAGATAAGTTGTCGTTATTGCCAAAATCCAAGATTTCTACAAAGATTTATTAATCCAATATTTTAAAATATGCTATTAAATTTCATAAATTTTTACTATTAAATTTTATCTTGTTTATATTAGAATTAAGATATGAGTATGTAGTGCATGTTAAAACTATGTATTTAAAAGAGGTTACTCAAATATATAAATCTTTACTCAGTTTTCTTTCATTTATTCACATTAATTGAGGAAATAAGTATAAGAGTATCTATTAATTTAAGTATTTAAAATAACTGATTCAAGTTCATGAATATTTACTATTAAAATTTGTATTAAATTAGGTGGCCTAAAGAATTTTATAACTACATTTATAGGCGATTATAGTAATGTAGGTGGTTTGAGTGATATATTATTTTATACTAGAAATATTGTATTGGAATCATAATGAGTTTTTGATTTATTGTAAATGCTACCATGGTACTTATGGGCTATAAGTAGGCTTGGTTGATGTGTTACGGTATTTTGCATTGGAATCATGATTATTATTTAAGAATTTAGTTTAGATGATATTGTGTTATTTTATGTTGAAATTATTGTTATAACTGAAATTATTGTGGTTTCTGATTTTACATGTTATGTTACAGTTATTTTCAAAAATGCGTTAATAATGATTTCCATATACCTATGTGGGAAATCGAAGAATTTGAAAATTTAGATCAATAGCTATTTTCAAAAGGTGTGAATGGTGTGAGTATGAAAATTGGTAAGTTAATAACTAAATAACTCAATACAATACAATAATACAACAATCTAAGGCCTAACAACAAGACCGAAACTCCAAAATTGGAAGGCTACGATCGAGGCATGGTGAGCAGTGTCTGAAATTGGGTTGTGGAGTCTGCGGATCGCAACAAAATTTTAAATTCCCGCAACCAAACTCTGACGTGCACATGCAAATTCCGCATATAAATTTATAAATTTTATCTATAAATTTCGATTAAATGTTCATGTGCGCAACTAAATTTTATAAATTTTTATAATCCAAGTTGTTTTTTTTTAATTGGTTGCAGCCCGCAACTAATTTAAAAATTGAATTTCAGACACTGATGGTGAGATTTGGTCTGGGTTATCAGAGCTTGGGCCTTGTAGATAGTGTTGGGGCTCAGATAAGTTTTCTTTACTCTAAATTACAACCTTTCGTTATTTAACTATGAATACTTGAAACTAACGCTTCTAATTCTTCTATTTCGTACTTACTGCTTATTTCGATCACGTGTGACAAAATCACGGCTGCTGGCAGCTGTCGGAAGTTTAATACAATTATCGTCACTGGTAGAATATGGGGTCTTTGCCTTGAAAATGACCTTACAGTATCATGTACCGTAAGGTCATTTTCAAGACAAAGACCTCGTAAACGTCTCTTTTTAATTTTCCTCCTATATCATAGATTATAATTCTGGAATAGTAACACATTTTTAAATGGCGAAAAAATAACAAAAGATAAAATAATTTTCAGTGTTTTCAGTAATGATAAAAATAAATTAACGAATGCTGAAAATTATCTTAAAAAATGTTATATCTAGGGATGGCAAATGATTTAAAACAAAATGTTTTAAATCTGTTTCATACTGTTCAAAATTGTTTTTTTTTGTTTTAAAACAGGTATCAGATGATACGATTATAGTCGATAATAATTATATCATTATTTAATCATAATGATAATAAAAAAGATAAATTAATTTTAAGAGATCGATATTGATATTTGTTTAATAATTATGTCATTATTTAATAATTTAATTAACAATTATTAAAAGGATATTTAATAAGTTGATATTTGATATTTATTCAATATTTGATATTCATTCAATAATTATGTCTCGTGGAAGGCCACCCTTAAAAGAAATTCGTAAGCACTTTGAGAAAGTTGAAGAAGCTGATGAACATAATAGAAAAGTTGCTCGTCAAAAATGCAACTATTGTAATAGTAACATTGTAGATTTAATTGATCGGTTAAAAAGTCATTTAAAAAATACAAAAAAATTCCAAAGCATATAAAAGATCTATTACTTTTAAAAATACAAACAAATTCTTTTGATTCCGAATCAGAAGAGGATTTATTTGATCCTAAAGATGCAGGTAAAGCACTATCAAGATTTTTTTATTCGGCTGGAATTGCTTTTACAGCAATTGAAAATCCATTTTGCATGAGTTTATGAAGATTGTACAACCAGTTTACACTAGCCCAAATCGTCGGAATCTAGCTAATAATTTATTATATAAAGAATATCAGGTTGAGCAACAGGCTTTAAACATGGCATTAGAAGATGCATCCAATATTACATTATTATCAGATGGATGGTCGAATATTAGACGAGAATTAGTCCTGAATTTTATTCTCTGTCTTCCTAAGCCTGTATTTTATAATGCCAAATATACAGGCTCTGATTCACATACGGGAGAATATATTTATCAAGAAATTAAATCAATTATTGAATCTGTTGGACCAACTAAATTTGCAGCTGTTATTATGGATAACGCTAGTGCAATAAAAGCTGCTTGGAAAAAATTAACTCAAGATTATCCAAAACTAATTTGTTTTGGATGTAATGCACATGTTGCGAATCTTTTAGTCAAAGATATTTTTAAGCTTGAAAATATAGACAAACTAATGACTCAAGTTAAACAAATTATTAATTTCTTTTATGCACATCATACGGAAGAGGTAATTCTATTAAGCCAACCAAATGCAGTTAGCTTAGTTCAGCCATGCGATACTCGTTGGGGAACTTGTTTGGCTTCTATTCAATCTATTTGCAGAAATAAATTAGGGCTTCATATGTCTGTTATGCATCCTGATATTAGTAGAAAAATTAATAATGATCTTTGTAAACAAATTTTAGAAAATTCATTTTGGGAAAATGTCGATTTATTAGCAAGTTTTTTGGAACCATTTATTAGGCTTATATTTTTATTTGAATCTGATTCGCTTTTACTTTCTCATGTATATGATGAATGGCAAAAACTTCGGGAATTAATTAGTGCTCAAAACCTAGATTCAAATTTTAACTTACATATTAACGATTTAATTGACAAGAGATTTGAATTTGTCTTTCATTCCGCAATGGCAATTGCGAATCTTTTAGATCCTAAGTATATTTTATTTTATTATTATATATTAGATATATTACAATAATAATTGTCATATTAATTTATTAAAATAAAATTTTAAATTTTAGTTTTCGTGGCAAATCATTGAAATCTGGAGATATTGAAACAATTATTATACCATATCTTGAAGCAATTTATACATTCGAATCAGCAGCATTCGTAAGAATAAATTCATATATATACATTTATTAAATTATTATTTATAATTTTTATTAATATACATCTGCTTTTATAATAAAGATTTACAGAATTATACAGAAATATATTGCCAAAACTGATGAGTTTTTAGGAGTTTTACTTTGGGCATCTGCGAAACATTCGAATCCAATTAGCTGGTGGAAGTCAAACTTTGAAAGCAAATTCCCAATCGTAGTTGAACTTGTCTGTTGAGTTCTTTCAATTCCAACTTCTTCAGCAGCAGCTGAGCGGAATTGGTCAAGCTTTGGGTTTATTCATAGTAAGAATCAAGCTCGCTTAAATAATGATCGGGTAAAAAAACTCATATCAGCTTATCAAAATCTAAGAATTCAAAAGAAAATTGATGATGATAAATGGTTTGAGGAAGACGAAGCTTAAACTGTAATATATTAATATTGTTTTTCTTTTGTTTTATTTAACTTTAATTAAGAAAATTCGCCATGTTACTAACTTACAGAATTAATAATTGAAAACTGTAGACGATTATACAATTTGAATGGCAATAGTAGTTCATATATGCTAACTTGCGAATTATTTGCATGCATTAAATAAAACTTGAAAAACTTCATGAACCAATTCTGACAATAATCCTGAATTGGTATTCAATGTATAACTTAGCTTCGGTTGTCAAAATAAAGTAAACAACTTTTGCTTAATAATTAGTACATTTCTTAAATTTCTTACTTTCGCTATATGTAAAATATTGATAAAACAAAGAAGTATAAAAAAGTAAAAATTCTAATGCTAATATTTCGGCTAAGAAACAAATATTGCACTTGATGCTAAACCAAAAATTAGCAATGGTTTCAACTTCAGCCATCAGCCGCACAATCGGTAATGTTTTAAAACATTGTTTTAAACAATTTAAAAAACATATAAAACAATAAAAAATGTTTTTTTACCATCCCTAGTTATACCCATATATCTGAATCAGATTTTCAACTTGGTATTGATGTCACGGGTTATGGTGTCACGAGCAATTCTGACGATCAATTAATTTGTTCGGGTTCATAACGATAACCAAAACCCAAATACTGTAAAGTGCCATACCGAAGACCAGGCGTGACAAATATGGGAGATTAATTTTTAAAATATTATTTATACATCATGTGATACGTAAAATATGTGATTTAAAAAATTTTCTATTGTAAAAAATTGCATCACACCGGGTCTTCGGCATAGCACTTTACAGTATGTATCCTATTTCGTTAAATAGTGTCAAACTCAAAACTATCAATTCATTAAATAAATATTTGGCATTTTTTTTTTTTTTAACCCGGAAGTCTCGGGACGCCGGCAGCGTGCTTTATTAAATTTAACTTTGAATTACATATTTATATTGAATATTAATTCACAGTATTATCTATTATATCAGATTTGTTGAATAACTAAGAACAGGACCCGTTGTGTCAATTTTAAATTTTACGCAAATTCGTTATAATTTTATTTATTTTGTTTTCTCCTCTCCTACCTGTGTGTTTCAGAATTTTAACTATTTTATCAAGTCTGTGTTTGATCACAATTTCTAAAGTGGTGTCAGGAATGGGATTACCCCATTTTGCCGGTGTGTACCAAAACCAAATTTCATAAAGGCATTAATATATATCCAGTTTCGCAACTGTAAATTGCCAGTGTGTTGGTCTGTGAACAGGCCATTTAGGTTATCAGGCATTCTTAGATTGGCAGAGGGAGCTGTCAGCTCTAATGCTATTTTCCATATCCTTTTACTAACCAGGTACTCAATTGCAAAATGCTTTCGTGTTTGTATTATATTAGGATAGTTTATACATTCTCCTGTTTCTCTGAGGTCAAAGTGTTTAATCCTATAGCCCAGGGGAAGGGCTTTATGCTGCAAGCGCCAGTATATATTTTCCTTAACATTTGGAATCCCCTACTCTTTATCCAATTCCAGCTGTTTCTTGTTGAATCATTTATTAGTTGACTTCGGTTTTCAATATTGAGAAGAGCTGTCTCCTTTAAGAACTTGGTCATACCTTTGACTGAGAAATTATCTCCCGTAGTGCCTGCTAAAGTAAGATTATTTTTGTTCCATGGCTATTCTTCAGTGTTTACTTCTACTTTGCCATTTGCCCGCCTCCATGCAACTATATAAGGCTTCCAATGCTCTGGCCAGCCTTTTGTTTTGATTGGGCTTTTATTTAGAGTGACTTTTACTGTAATATTTCTTTTGCTTTCTAGTTCTTTCTTAATTATTGCTCTTTCTATTTTGGCCATATATTATTCTCTGTTAAGAGTTTAATTAGTATACATGTAAGGCGTGCATCGATCATGTCTGGTAAGGTTGGGCACCCAACCCTCCTTGATGTACTTGAAGTTGTAAAATTGTATATCTCAGAAGTAGTCTAGATTTTGTCTTAATTCATTTCTCAAGTAAACTATTGATTGTAGCTAATTGTTTTCAAGTTGGTGGGGCTAGATAAGCTATATACCATATTTTTGATATTACTAGTGATTTTGCTAATAGAATTTTCCCTTCAAATGAGAAATTACATGCTGATAGTTTTTGAATTTGCTTTTCTAATCTATGAATAGTGTCCCTCCATAAGTGTCGATCTATTGTGCCATGTGGTGTTATTTTATATTCCAAAATTATCAACAACTCACTCTCCTCTGTGTATCGAAAGCTATTGCATCTTTCTAGTTTACTTCTTTTGGCACTTATTGTTAGTAGGATCAGAGTTGATTTTGTATTGTTAATTTTTTAATTTGAAGCCTCTTCATATTTTTTTTCTATTCTTCGAAAGTTTGCCCAATCTGCTAGTGATCCAATACCTACAGTTAAATCATCTTCATCTGCATATGCTGCCACTCTAAAGTGTTTGTTAGCCACTTGTATTCCCTGTAGATTACTTGTTAGCTTTTGTAAGAAGGGTTCAAATGCAATTATAAATAGTAGTGGAGATAGGTGATCACCCTGCCTTACTCCACACTCTACATTAAATGGTTCAGAAAGTATACCAGCATTCACTATATGTGCTGTTTGATTTGACAATAACTGATGAATTAAATTGATAAATATTGGGGTAAATTTCATTTTTTTCAGGATCTCTACTAGGTAAGTATGACTAATTTTGTCGAATGCATTTTGTTGATCGATGAATATCATCCAGTGCAGTTTGGTTTTATCAGTCTGGTTTCTTAATACTAAGAGAATATCTAGCACCATATCCATGATAGAATGATCAGCTATAAAGCCTTGTTGGTAAATCCCTATTACTGTTTGACAAATTTTGTTTATCCTGTTTGCCATTATTTTTAAAAATATTTTAGCATCACAATTGGTTAATGATATTGGTCGCCAATTGTTTAGTTTTTCTAATCTTCGGAATAAAAGTAATAATACTTTTACCCCATGATTTTGGAATTTCTCTCTTGTTTATTACCTTATTGAAGAGCTTTTTTAATACTGGGACTATTGTCTCTTTCATTTCTTTATAAAATTCACATGATAGCCCATCTAACCCTGGTGCTTTATTTCTTGGGAGTAAACCTATGACATTTTCAATTTCCTCAGTTATTATCTTCTTAACCAGGTTCATGTTTTGTTCTTCTGATTCAGACTGAATATTAGATGTAAACTCTGCCATCGCCTCTATATTTATGCTATTAGATTTATATAACTGTTCATATGTCTTTTTTGTATATTGTAAAATATTAGTAGGAGTTGAACTTTCTATATCATTTGGAATACGCATTTTAGATGTAAAACTAGTATTATGACGAGATTTAAACCTGTTAAAAAAGTATTTAGCAATCTTTCTCCTTCTTCAATCTAGCGAGAGTTAGAACGAATCAGCCATTTTTCTGCCATAAGTGTAAGTTCCTTTTGTAAATCATCTTGAAGTTTATCTATTACAACTTTTAACTCTTCTTTCTCTGTTGCTTCAGTATTTTTTCTTGCAGATCAGCTATTCTTTTCTGCAACCTGCAGATTTTTCTTTCTGGTGATGAAGGTGGTTTGTATTGACAAATTCTGGCTTGTATCCTGTTTTTTCTTAAGTCCCATGTGTTTACTAATACTTGTTCCTGCAACTCCTCTTCTATATCTTTTTTAATACTATTATTTATCAAACATCTAGCATTAAACTTCCAATATGAGGCTTGACTTATTTCTGGTTGAAGATTAAATGAGCATTTAACCATCAGATTGTCTGAGTTTCCAAAGAGCATTTGTGTATCTTGACAGAATTGTATATGATTATTGTCTATGAAGATATAATCAAGTCAGGTGGCCATTAGGTGGTTATTTCTTGTTTTTTGAGAATAAGTTGTAAATGGGTCATCAGAAAAATTTACTGTATCTGTGAAGTTTTCCATAATCTGTTGAACCTTAGCTAAAGAAGGGTCACTATGAACAGGAGCTTGGCTAATTCTATTTATTTGTGGGTTAGTGTTTATATTAAAATTACCAGCAATAATATTCATTATATTATTGTATATTTCTGGAGCCCAATTATCAAAAAATTTTACTCTTTCTGACATATGTGGTGGCGCATATATATTGGATATCTTACAAGAATATTGTTTAATTTTTGCAAATCCTGTAATAACCCTACCATCGTGACTTTTTTTATATTTTCTTATGTAATATTCTTATTACCTGCAAGTATTGCAGTTTTGGATGTCCAAAAAGAATCCAATACCCATTGTTGCTTGAGAAAGTTTCTTATCATATTATTGTTTAAATTTGTTTCCTGAATTAAAATTAATTCTATATTATAAAATTTTAATAAAGTAAGTGTCTTTGTATATTTAAGCTGATTATTCAGCCCTTTTACATTTAATATAGCTACTGTGAATTTACTTTTGCTCATGAGAGAGAATTGTGAGGTTAGCTATAACTTTGCCACTATGCTTTGAGGTATAACGACCTCCAGTATTTATTTCTTTTTTATATAGAGTATGTTTGTCACTCCGGATTTCTGCTGCCAGTGCTGATTTTGCACCTCTTTTTTTGCGAGTTACTAGTATAAACTCTTCTTCTGGTAGATTACTTATTTCCTGATCGACTATTGTGCTATCTGGTAGAGTTTCAGTTAACTCCTGTATTGCTGCTTGACTTTGTTTATTCTGTGTACTATGTTCTAGTTCTTGTATTAATTCTTCATCGGAGTTTTCTCCATTGATTTTTTATTTGAAGTTTCCTCCATTGATTTTCATCTGGAGTTTCTTCTATTGATTTTTCAATAGGAGTTTCTTCTACTGATTTTTATCTGAAATTTTCTCGATTGATTCCACTGATTTTGATAGTGTCTGTTCTGTTGTTTTCTTCTCAATTTCTTTATTTTTGATTTGATCTTCTTCTACCACATTTGGCTCTCTATATGGGTTGTCCTGTGAATATAATAATGTATTTTTTATATTATTATTTTCTCTAGATATTCTTTTTTTAAGTTTGAGTTCTCTGTGCTGTTGCCTTAACTCTACTGATTCTTTAAACTGTTGACAGTCAGCTTTAATATAACCTTCAAGGTCACAATAAAGCATATTTTAGGAGCTGCTTTCTATTCAATTAAAATTTTTTGATCCCAAATATGGGTGTGACAAGGTAGTTTTTCTGATATAGAGGAATCATTTGTACTATAGTAGACTACAATCCATTGGTTAGATAAGACTGGGGTTCCTTTATATACCAAAGGTTTGATTGACACAATAGTTCCGAAGTCTTCCATTGCTACTTTAATGTGCTTGGAAATTAACTCCTTTTCTCCTATAGGTACATTGTGTAATTTAAGAAAACAGATTTTCGTAGATTTGTAGGAACAAATCCAAGAAGTGTCTGTTTAAAGATAGTAATTCCTTCTGCTGTATATTTATATAAACTTTCTTTATCTTTGAAGATTATTTCTAAGTCAGTTCTTTGACCTTTAACAAAGTGAGGGTTTGTAGCAATAAGTTTGTTTCCCAGTTGATTATGTAAAGCAAGTATAATTTCATTTAAAGAAATATTGATAAAGTTTCTAACATTTAAAATTAGCACATTATTATTTTTGGTTTTGATTCTTCCTCTATTGGGGATTACTCTATAAGTGGCTTTCCCTCATTGCATCTTTGTAAAGAGACTAGACCACTGCTTCTCAGAATTCTTCTGTTTAGACATTTTGTCAATTTTCTCTTTCTCTATTCGCATCATATCAAGATCTGTTTCTACAGTTCTTTTGGAGTCACCTGATTCAGCATCGCTCATTATCATATCTGGGTTTGATCCAGAACTTTTGCTATAGAATTTTCTGATCTATCGTTTGAAACTAGAGCTTCATACTGTGTTTTATTTCTTTGAATAGGTGTTCCCTCTTTTATGTATGCAGCCTCTGAGTCTTCTACCCAGTCTATATTTAGGTTTGTTGTATCCGTTAAGACTTCTTGCATATGGTTATTTTGTATTTCCATGCTTTCTTGACTAATGTTGTGGCCTAAGCTCTTATTCTCCCTGTTTTTGAGATTTGGACCTAGTGTCATGTGTCTTTGCTTATTATTTTCATTTTTAACTTTTTCTGGATTTGTCATTCTCCGTTTCTCTGGTACAAGGGCTTTTGCCCTTGTTTTTAAGGCTGTATAGAGTTTAGTTACCTTTTCTTTCAGAGTCTACTTCCGATTTCAAACACCCAGCACCTGTTTGGAGCAGAGTGATTGCCAATCTCCCATATTCGGCATTTAATAGAATAATCTTTAAATTATTCAACAAATTTTGATTTTTAATCAGGTATATCTATGTTTAAAGATTGATAATCTAAAGATCGAATCCAATTCAAGAACCATGAATGGATCGATTATTGATTAATTAAATATAGTTAAACCAAAAACACGTAAAAAATTTTGGTTGAATGTTGGGAATATCAATGCCTCTTTTACTTGTAAGCACAAATAAAATTGCCAAATGATTGTTTATTTTATTGTTAGCCAGGTAATAAACAAGCAGAATTTAAAACTTAGGAAGAAATTGATTGTCTGATAATATCAAGAAAGAAGTGCAACGGAGAATATAGTTATATTTAAACGCATCTGATTAGACAAACCATTCTTATAATTTGAAGTATTGTATGCAAGTTAAATGATGTAATAGGTAAATGCAATCGAATGTGTGATCAAGAAAACATAATTCTATAATACCATGATGATATGTTTAATTTCCTTGTCTAGTCATTGTTTAAAATATAAAACTATTTAAGCTGAATATAATGATATCATAGTAAAATCTTTCTATATCAAAATTTTTTTTGCTAATGAAAAAAATTGTCGATTATCCAGAGTAACGTGTATTAAAAACGGAGTGTACGAAGAGTTGGCTATATGAACTATATGAAGGGTATGCACAACAAGGTGACTTATAGGTAAATCGCGTTTTGATGTCAAAATTTCGCGATCTTATTGGTCAAGGTGCCGGGCTTTAAACAATTTTTTTGTTTGGGATGAGTTCCAACACGATTTTACATATAAAAAATTTTGGATTTCAAATTTTTTTTTTTTAATTCTACAGTAAATAATAGACTCATATTCACATTTAAGGTCACGCATAGTTAAATTTCGCTTTACATAACATGGAATCGAAAATTGGGTCAGTAATCGAATTTTTTTTATCAGTTCTATCGGACAATTCCGGAAGAATGGGGTCTCTGTCGGGTGATACCGGAATAATTTATGGGGAAAAATTAAATGGCAAAAATAGAACAATTGGCCTAAAAAAAAAAAAAAATCAAACATTTGAAAAAATCGGTTGGCGGGTAATGCAAAATGAAAATTTTACTTTGTGTGGCCTAATTTATATGTCAGAATGTTTGACATTACGGCAAATTAGAGGCATTTTGCGAAACCTAGTAAATACTATTTGGGATTCTACCAAATCCCAAATTACAGTCATACCTGATTTATATCACCCCTTTTATCCAGAGCATTTTTGGTGATATAACTAAGGTGGGGATATAACTCAATATATAAACTATATAAAAAAAGGAAATTTATTCTTCTAAAAAATGGGGATATAACTCAGGTTGGGATATAACCCAGTGGGGATATAACTCAGGTATGACTGTAGTAGGTTTGGGCCGCAACCCTAGCGAAAATGCCCCTTATTTATAGATAATTTTGAAAGTAATAAACATAATATACTAAAGAAAAATAATGACAAACTTCATAAAATCTAGATAGCTACTATAATCCCTTAACTAGTTACAACCCATAAAGTAAACAAACCGCCGAACTCTCATAAATGTACTATAACCCGTTAATCAATAACCCTTATATCTCACATTAATGCATTATCTTTAAGAAATGCAAGATAACTAATAAAGGCGATAAATTAGATTAATCGCCGGGAAAACTATAAATGGTAAAATAGGCTGCGGCTTACACACGTGAGGACTAACCCACAAAAAATACGTGGCAGATCCTCGGTTTTGATTGGCTAACGGCCGAGGATCTTTAAAAATTTTGGCCCGCATTACATAATTGTTTACTAATTTCCGGCGAAATTAACTTTTTTAATTTTTTCATACAAAAATAGAAATTTTTAAGAAATAAGCAAGCATTATGGTAAAATTGACCCAGGAACAATTTTCATTTAATGGGCGGCTGCGCTTTCATTAGTAAAATTATGAGTAATTCCGGCCTAATTTTTTGATCGTCGCGCATTTTTTGTGCGGCAGCTATGGTTAATGGTTCAATCACGAGAGATCCACTGCGGCTAAAATTAAGATTTTCATATATTGGCATTGACAAAAAAAAATCTACAAAATTCATCAATCCAACTAAATCGATAAGAGCGATAATACTAATGTGATTATATAAAGTTTTTTTTATAAATAAATTATTCAAAAACGATACTTATAAAGATGGAGACTATATACTATTATATAGCAGTAAATTAGAAATCTTTATCGCTCTTTTCGATTTTAGTTGGAACGACGATCCGCATAATTATTTGAGTCCCGTGATTACAATAAAGATATCACTTCAACTTCGTTATATTTTGTGGAACTCATTTTAGAATTCTTATATTTTAATCAATAATTTTAAAAAAATACAGGACCCAAAAAACATTATGCAGAACGTCGATCAACTAAACCGAAAGAGCGATAAAATTTTATACAGTACTTTACAAACTATTGTAAAGATATATAGCTTGGATAATACATATGTTATCTCTACATGATCTAGCCACTTCTGATTTCTAATTTAATCTCATTTATTCGTATTAAATAGGGAAATGATTATATAAATATTTAAAATAAGCGAGTCAAATTCATGAATATTTATGAATAAAAAAGCATTTATTAATCTAAGTTTTTAAAATAAGCCATTCAAGTTCATGAGTATTTAGTATTTATTCATGTAAACCAAAAGATGATTTATATTTATTAAATTCGAACTTAAAACATGTTTGAAACTTTCGGACTGAACCTGGACTATAGTTGCCATCAAAACCTAACCAGTTTGGGACTTTTTAGGGTATTAAACACTATTTGAGACTAGTTTAAACCGTGAAACTTGTCCCAAATTACTGCATAATTTGAGGTTCAGGACAAAATTTTAGATTTAAACAGTTTGGACCAATAGTTATAACTGTTTAGATAACCTGGACTAAACACAAACCAACTTCTCTAAAAGTTTAGCATCGGATTTGAGCCAAACTGAGTTTCAAAAAAGTTTGAGTCTGGGTTTGGTTTGATTTCAAATCGAACCCGAACATGGCCCAAAGTTGATTCAGCTCAGTCCGATAGGAACACTATTGTATAACTTTAAATATATATATATATAAATAAGTTAAGTCCAAGCAATTCAATTGTTGCCTATTACCTTAAAGATTTTTTTTTTTTGTCTTGTTTTATTAAAACCAAAATTTATTTAATTCTTTTTTTTTTTCTATATTTTATTGAAATAAGAATTGATTTTTTTCTATTTTCAGCATACTGACACCCCAACCCACCTGATTGCTTTATGCGACATCAATCAAGGCTTAATGCAAGTAGAATATTCAAAGCTTTAATATAGCTAGGCTTCTATTTATAAGAATATAACTTTATTTTAGTGTTTATGCTCTATTAAAGATGTTCTCAAGCATCTCACTCAAATTACCCGATTCTCCATTCACAATCAAGTAAGCATCAAATCCAGAATAACGGATCGGAGGTAAAATTTTAATTGGTCAGAGATTTAATAAATTAACCATTTTGATGAACAAATCAGAGAAATATAACCCATCTTTTTTCTTCAAAATTTACCATTAATATAGGTCACTCAATTATTACTTTTGCATTTTTTGCATATTAAGCTTAATAAACAACAAATCCTAACCAGTCTAAAAAAATAGGCTCGAAGCCAGTGTTAGAAATCTTATGTTCTCATGAGAACATGAGAATATACCTTTAGATTTGAGAACATTTTGTATTCTATATTTGTTCTCTATGAAAAAAATTTTGAGAAAATACTACTCAAAAAATATGTTCTCTATATAAGTATAATATGAGTATAATAGCATAATGCCAGATGGAGCTAAAATTAGAAATCGAGCGAAGTTCTAAAATCATTCAAAAGAAAATGAATGAACATGAAAGACGAGAAAAATTTAAAAAATAGGGACATAAATAAATTTTACTGTGAGAACATAAATAATTTTCTGAGAACATTAAATTAAATAGATTTTATGTGAGAACATAATTAAATTTCCGAGAACATTAAATTGTTCTCATGAGAACAACACTGCTCGAAGCTTTCAAAATAAAATAATCGATACCTTGATGCGAATGTAATAAATACGATTCATTTTTTAACCTTTTTAAAACTATAATAAAATATTGCTATTCCATTTTTCATTCTATATTTAAGGATAATGAAGGTTATTCCTCTTTTCGAATTTGAAACATTTCTTATTACCTATGCTACTTACAGTGCAAAATAACAACTGTGGAATTACTATAGGCTGCCTATAAACAAAATTTTCTAAACTTAAATACTGCCATAAAGTAACTTTTGCTAACGGCTCTGTGAGTTGATTCCGTTGTTGTTGCAACAAAGAAATTTAGGTTGGTAAAATCATTAAAATGAGAGTGGCACAATCAAAATTGAAGTTTCGGCAGAATAGAAAATTTTTTTATTTGTTTTTAGAAGACAGCGAAAATTATGAAAAAATTAAGAGTACACACATGCATTTAATTTTATAAATATATTATTGATTATAATACATGTGCGTTATTAGTTATAGTTATTGTATGGGTTGTAAAAAATAACTAAATTTGCACGGGTTAAGTTACATGGCCTTCGGCCATGTAGCCCCGTGCAAATTTAGTTATTTTTTACAACCCATACAATAACTACAACTTATTACAATAATACTAAACACTATTATTCGTAAATTTATCCCGAAGACTTCAACTTCCACTGGGAGCTTTTAACTCCCTTCAGGAGCTTCTAACTCCTTCTGGGAGCTTTTAACTCCTCCGGGAGCTTTTAACTCCTTCCGGGAGCTTTTAACCCCTCCGGGAGTCATAGGCTCCAATACGCAACGATAATCATTTTTCCAGATTATACCGAAATAAGAAAATAATAAAATAATACAGATAACGATAAAATAATAAATAATAAATAAAGATAAAGAAAAAAGTTCCAGAAATAATATCGGTCTGACCCATGATCGACATAGCCGACCCGCGGGTGATGCATGACCCGTTTGAACACTACGTACATACGTAACGTACGTACGTACGTAAGTGGGTTGTCGGTCTGATCGGCAGGCCAAACCATATAATATCGATACCTTATACATCGAATAACGCTTTCAAATTCAGGCACTAACCAGATAGGTTGGATTGGCATTTGTATATTATACTGTAGTCATATAGATCTACATAAATAAATTTCTTGATTTAGAGATCATTTAATGCCAAAGTTAGATAATTTTCAGTAGATTACTAATCGTAAAAGCGATAGATTTACAAATTAATATAAAATATACTCACCCGTTTTAGACCATTCTTGACTTGTTCGGTGATTTTTGTCCGCTAAAAACTTAACCAAACTTATATGTATATAATGTACGATCTTTTAAAACGTAAAAAAATTCCTTCGGCTTTTGATAAAAAGTACTTCAATGAGACGACAAAAAAAAGATTTTTAAAATGGTTCTATTCTATCGCCCTTATAATACTGTAAAAATTTTACTTTTTACTTTAATTTTAATTCTTATTAGTATTTTTTTAATAATTCGCTATAGTGATTCAATAATTCGCTATAGTGATTCAATAATTCGTTATAGCGAACCTAACCACAATTCATCAATTTATGATGGTACTTATGCATGCCATGATTCAGTTAGTTGCGGAATAAAATATGGAAAAAGTACTTATAACCTTTCCACTGATCAACAATTTAATCAATTTAATGAGGTTTTCTTAAGTACATTATATACAGAAAGTTACTTTAGAGGTTCTTTATTGTTAGGTTATACTATAAAAAAGCATCATCCAAACCATGCAATGTATTTATTATATTTCCCTAATCAGATATCTGCCTCTTTAATATGTCAACTTGAGGCCGTTGGCTGGATAATGAAAGAAGTAGAACGAATACCTGTACCATGGAATGGATATTTGTACGGTAACTTTGGTGATCAATTTACCAAGCTACAAATTTGGTCATTAACTGAGTTCGATTCAATAATTTATATCGATTCGGACGCAATTGTCCTTCAAAGAATAGATAATTTATTTGAAATGGTTAATTTACGTACAAAATTCGAATTCGCAGCTGCACCTGATGTTTTTGGTCAGCAAATACTTACAAAATTTAATGCAGGTACGTATCTGATATTTATGTACGAATGTACTTATGATCCACAGACCATTTCCTGATATCATGTTACCGATAACACGGTTTACCGACAACAATACTCACAACAGGACATTTTCACGGCAGCCATTTCACAGACACTTATTTATCTAATAGGTCAAAGTTAGAATCAAGCTAAGCTTAACGTTAAAGTTAGTATTAAATAAGGAGAGAAGTGGAACTCAATAAAATGGATTGTCAGTGATATAAAATGGTAGTCGGGGAAATGTGCTGTTGAAATTAGCTATAGTTGAGATATTCTTTTGTGCTATGGTGCCAAGGAAATGGTCTGTTGGTAAAGTCAAGGAAGTGAATTCGTGAATACATACTTGAAATTTTTATTTTTAGATGATAACAACAAATTAATTTATTTTTGTGCGTCATATAGGATTTTTTGTTTTAAAACCAGATATAAACGTTTATAAAGAAATAATGCGAGCCTATAAAGTGCGTGACAGCTACAATATCGATTTTGCAGAACAAAGTTTTCTTAACGAGTTTTACAAATTTAGGTATTATATATAATATATACATTATTAATATCTTTTTTTATAATTACTAAGCCTGTGTCTAATAATTGGTTTCGTTGATATAGATATATCCAATTGCCATTAACGTATAATTTCAACATTGCATTACTAAAAATTTATTCACATCTTTGGCCAATCATATTTCCTGATATAAAAGTTATACATTTTACTTTACAAAAACCATTTATAAACTCATTCTTACCAACAATATCTAATGAAATATTTGAAAACCCGATCGAAATTTGGAATTCATTATATAGCGAGATGGAAAAGATAATGGATTTAGCAAATATAAGGATCAAATGCGAAAAATATTTGTAAATTACAAGAATAGATTTAGTCAACACTTTCTAGACTCAAATCAATTTAATAAGTCATATGTATAAAAATATGTATATTAGATCTACATATAGTAACGCATAAAATTTTCAACTTAAAGTTCGTTTTGTGAATCTTTTTATTATATAATTAGCTTTCGTGATTTGTAGCAACTTTTATTGAGGGATTCCCTTAAATTTTGACAGGGCGTATCCTTTTTGACATCAACTTCGTACAAAAGAACATTTAATTTCATACATAATGACATTCAATTTTGTACAAAGTGGCATTCAATCTCGTATAAAGTAATATTTAAATTAATACAAAATGACATTCAAATCTGTACAGAATGACAATTAAAATAAGTTTGGCCAAATCCCGATATCTTGTGACATAGTAATCCAGTATAGATGATTTTGGTACCATTCGAATCCTCTCAATGAGACGATTCAAATGGTATTAAAATTTCGGAAAATCACGTGAAGGAAAATCGATCCTATGCCCTGATGTAATTGATTCCAGTGTTTATCTTGCACAAGATGCTGCAAGTAGTTTTTTTTTTTGTTCAAGTGAAGTTCTAAATGTATATGCATATGCATAAGAGTGCAATTAAATTTAAATATGCTCTCGCGCAAAAAATGACATGCAAGAGAAATTATAAAACTTTAAATTTAAAATATGAGATAGTATTAGAGTGGGGAACGGGCCGCCGTCCCCAAAATTCTAGTCACATGGTAGATCATCATGTGACTAGTGTTTTGATGAAATGCCCAAATTAATTTCTAAAAAAAGCCCGTAGATAGGATAATGATATAAATGAATGAGCATAAAATACGAACAAGGTTAAGTTTAAATTTTGAGAAATATCCAATATATTCCGAAAAATTAACCAAAAATATAAGATATATTTGTTATAGTAATTTTATAACGTTCAAAAATAATAAATTTGTGCATATAAAAACAAACTTTACATGCACATGCGTGCAACTAGTAGTTGGTTTGTGTAATTAAGACCTATGACACAACTGCATTTGTGCATATAGGTTTCTATCTGAATTTTAAACACTGGTGATTCGCTTATGTCAAGACTAGATCCTTTCCGATCTGATTCCGGAGCCCAAATATTCAATTCCTTTAAACTTCTAGCGAAGATTTCTCAGTAACTATTTGAACGAATTTAGTAAAACATTTTTATTTTGACTATATATTTGTAAAATTAAAAAAGTTTCACTGTATTTAGTTTAGTGGTTGTCGAGAAACCTTTACTAGAAATCTTGAAAAAATTTGGAAAAAAAAATCTAAAACGGCAAATTTTTCTTTTTAAAACTTTAAATGATGATTTCTCAATATCCATATATCCAAATTTTTTTATTCTGATTCTGCTGTATGAAGGATTAAATAAAAAATTTTTTTATCAAATTTGAATAGAAGGATGTTGAGAATATGAATTAAAAGTTGACCGCAGCTTTTTTTTTTTTTTACGGATATCTAAACTTTGAACAAAGATTACCTGATCACATTCGATCAATTTTTTTTATTGATATTATAGAATTAAAATAATCGAATTTAGTTAGATAAATGCCGAGTTATCTTTGTTCAAAGTTTAGATATCCGTAAAAAAAAAAAAAAAAAAGCTGCGGCCAAATTTTTTTTAACTTTTAATTCATATTTCTCAACATCCTTCTATTCAAATTCATTAAAACCTTTTTTACTTTAGATCTACAATTTCGCAAAATTAGAGTAAAAAAATTTCATTAAATTTGGATAGATGGTTGTTGAGCAATCATCAATTAAAGTTTAAATAAAAGATTTATTGCAGCATTCTTTTTTTAAAAATTTTCTTTTAAACTTTTTTTAACTTTAAGCGATGATTGCTCAACAATAATCTATCCAAACTCGATGAAATTTTTTTTATATTGATTCTGCAAGTTTGTAGAATCAAAACAAAAAAATTACCGAATTTGAATAGACAGATATTGAGAAATATGATTAAAAGTTTGGCCACAGCTTTTTTTTTACGGTATCTAAACTTTGAACAAAGATTACTCGGCACTTACCTGATCATATCGATCAATTTTCTTTTATTTTAATTCTATAAGATTATAGAATTAAAATAAAAAAAATTTGGTCGAATTTGGTTAAGTAAGGCTGTTCGAAGTTAATTCTTGGTTAACATCCCTTTTAGAACTCTTGGGAGGGGAGGTGCTTTTAACCGAAGAATCAACTTCGAATGTTCTAAGTGCCGAGTTATCTTCGTTCAAAGTTTAGATATCCGTGAAAAAAAAGTTGCGGTCAAATTTTTTTATTTTAAATGAAGCTTCTCAACATTCATTCAAACTCGGTATTTTTTTATTTATTTATTTTAATTCTACAAGTTTGCAGAATCATAATAAAAAAATTCATTGAATTTGGATAGATGGTTGTTGAGCAACCATCGTTTAAAGGTTTAAAAAGAAAAAAGAAGTTTTTCGACAACCAATAAACTAAATACAATGAACTTTTTTTTATTTTAAGTTTACAAATATATAGAATAATATAAAAGATGTTTACTAAATTTAATCGAATAGTTATTGAGAAATCTTCGTTAGAAGTTTAAGGAAATTGAATATTTGAGCTCAGGAATCAGATCGGAAAGGAATGGAGTGATTTGTAATATCATGAAGTGTATGGTTACTATGGCATTTTTAAATGTGTATGTCTGCAATGTTCTAAATGTAGGGATGTTAAAAGTTCGATTTGGTCCGACTCGACTCCAAAAGTCGAGTTTTAAATTTTGACTCAGTTCCGAGTCAGACTCGGGACCAACTTGTTATTTCATGTGATATTTGGTCATATGATATTACTAATAGTATTCCGTTATTCCATGGGTACTATGTAACAACCCGTGTTTTTTTGACAAGGTTATTTTATCGGTCTATATGAAAATCACATGATTTTCGTATAGACCGATAAAAAAATAACCTTGCTATAAATACTTAATTTACCGTTAAATATCGTGCCAAGAAATGAGAAGTTTATTATTATTATTATTATTAAAAAAGCATTTATTTATTTATTTATTTAATTATTCAAATAAAGAAATACATTATTCAATAAAAATATATATATTTAAAAATGATAGTGAAAATGATAATGAATTTCTTTAATTTCTTTATTATTATCATTACTATCCTTAATATCTTGATAAGTTAAAGGCGAAAAACGATTTGAGAGATCGTTTATGGTGGTCTTGGTTGGGTTAAAGAATTTGATTTGGTTAATAGTGCTGGAGAAGGCCAGGAAGACATGATGGTTTTTTAATAATAGGAGAGACATGAGTAGGTTGATTATTTGATGCTTTATAAGGAGGTTTAAACAGTGCATATAATTTAGACTTTGATTTATGGGAAAGTCTTTGAGCTAGTCTTTGGGATGATTTTTGATATAGTTTATGTGATGATCTTTCAGATGGATCCAAGGATGATCTTTTGGACAGTTCCAAGGATGATCTTTGGGATGGTTCCGAAGATAATCTATGGGACGGTTCCAAAGATGATCTTTGGGATCATTCCAACAATGATTCTTGGGATGGTTCCAAAGATAATTTTTGGGATGGCTCCAATGATGATCTTTGGGATGGTTCTAATGAAAATCTTTGGGATGGTTCTAATGATTCTTGTTCGATAAATTAGTACTCTGTATGCTTAATATTTGCAAAATTTTAATATTATTATATACATACTTAATGTTAGATGTGCAGCATTCTCTAATTTATTATCTATGGCATTTTGCACATATGCAAATTCTTCATTTAGTAATTGTTCAAATAATGTTGTACATGATAGTAATATATAAGTGGAATTATAAGCTTTAAATAACTATATAATAAATAGATTTTCCACTATCTCAAATGGGATATTAGCAGCAGTCCAAGCCTTTAGAAGAATTTTATCATAATCATTACTAATATAAACAGGTAAAATTGATTTTAAATATAAATTTCTTAAATATGCATTATTGCCTTTTACAAGCTTTTTGCGCCAATACTTTTGAATACCTGTAGATACATTTGAACATTTATTTGCAATATGTGACTTTATATCACTTAGTTTACCTCTTAGCCAAAATGCTTTACAATAATAGCATGTAGCTTTATAATGACCAGAGTTTACCTGTTCACCCTTTATAAAATGACCTCATACTTTATCAAATGCCAGTTCACTTTTTTTAGCTTTTTTTTGTAGCTGTTTAACCAAGTCAGATGTCTCAAAACAATCACTTTCAAAAGACATAAATTAGATTTTGAAGTTTTATCAATTACAGCTTTATCTTTTTTGACCTTTTTTTGTGGTTGTTTAACAGATTTAATGGCTCAAAATTATTGCCCTCATTAATGCTTGAATTAGATTCAGAAGTTTTATCTTGTAAATAATTGCTCTGTGTAAAGACATTTATGCAATTTGATTTTTAATTTAATTAAGTTGATTCTTTTAGATAATATTTAAATAAAGCTCTAAATTAAACTATCCCTTAAACTATCTATTTTAGCAGGCAAATTTGTCTGCTAAAATTTTTAAGAAGTTTTTAAAAATTGGTTTTGGTTTATTTTTATAAAAATTAAGTTATTTTAAATTTTTTTTTTAAATATTAACTATGATTATAGATTATATTTTAATAATTTTAATTTTTATATTTTATAAAAAATATTTAAGTTGACTATAAACTAAAAAAATTTAAAATTTTCAAAAATTTCTGATTTTTAAAGATTTTATTTTTAATCATAGACAAACTTTTAAAAATTCTAAGAATATGTACCTAATAATTTTTGATTCAAATTATAAAATAAGTTATTATAAACAACTTTTATTATAAAAGTTTTTATAATTTTATAATTAAAATTTTAACTTTTATTAATAGAGAATACTTTTTTTCTCTTTAAATATATATAAAAATTTCAAAATTTTTAAAAATTTTTAAAAAAATTTTATAGTAAAATTAAAGAATTGGCTAATTTTTCATTTATATTTAAATATATACATATAATTAAAATTTTAATAAATATTAATTAATAATATGTTAAATTTTTATTTTAGCTTAGTAATAGGAGGCTTATTCTTAATAAAATTTTTAGTAATTTTAAAAAATCATGTTAAAAAAAATTCTAGCAAGCATATTTGCCTGCTGGATGGTTTAAAGGATAATAATTGGTAAAAGATTTATATTATTGTTACATTTTGTTGTAAAGACATATTAACATATCTTATTAATAAAATGTAATCAAGTGATATTAATGATCAAGGTTTTTTATACCAATTACATTGATATCATTATGATAATTATAGCAAATTTTTTACAATTATGTCATTATATTAGTTATTACAAATGTCAACTATTATTATCTATAACAATAAAACACTTTTGACATAATAATGTGTCAATTTGATGTATCTATATGTCTTCAACTTTTTGCAACTATAATTGTCAGATTGAATAAAGGAATATAGATGCAAAAGTTTCAAAAAATTCTGAAAAAAACTAAATAAACATAAAAGAAGAGCAGTAAAATTTGAGCAAGTATCCAATATTTTCTAAAAGAAAATATAAATTTCTTTTTTTTTTTTTTAATGTTAAAGGTGAGACTATGCTCTTATCTTTATTAAACTTAATGAAAACTTTTTACATAATTGGAAAAGGTTATATATTTTAAGTCTAATACTAAGAATAAGAACTCAGACTAACTAAAAATGTCAGATAAACAAGCCTAGTTTTTTATCTGCGGCCTAAACCTACCAGAGTGGCCAAGGCTCACCTAGATTTGGGATAAGTTAAAAATATGTGAAAAGTGTGTGTAGAATTAGATCCAATTAGAATACCAAGATGATAGTTTTGAGAGAGATGTTTGTAAAATAGTATTAGAGTTAGTTGTTATAGGAAGTATATTTATTGTAGATTGAGATGATGAAGTTGTGAGGGTTGAGGTTGGGTCTAGAGTCACAGTAGGGAATCCATATGTTTGTGTATAATTGTTTGTTGATATGAAAAAGTAGTTGTATAGTAATTGATTTAGCTATTTGGTTTGATGTAGTGTATTCTTGAATTGTATATATAATTTCTAGTGGAATAAGTCCAGATAGTGTAGAAAAGATTGAAGGTTTGTTGGAAGAATTGTGTATTTAAAGGCTATCAAGATTAGAGATTTGGTTATGCAATTAACGAATTTGAGCTGGAGAGATTTGAAGTTTGTGAGAAGTTAGAATTATTTGTATAGAATTTTGGATAAGATAATATAGAGGGTTTGGAGAAAGACAAATTGTCCAGTATAATGTAGTGCTAGTTTGTTGACAATTGTGACAAGTATTAGGGAAAGAATGGTTTTTTTTATGTAAAATATGAGGAACAGGAAGTTCATCAGTAAGTAACTTAATTTTAAATGTTTTAAGTGTAGAAGATTGAAAACTGTGAGCAAAGTTAGAGGCTTTTTGGTTGTTGTTAAGATAGAGCCAAGTTGTATCCCAGTTAATATACTAAGAGATTTGTATTCATGGTTGGAAACGGTTTTGGGAAGACCAGGTAGCAAAGATTTTTGCATAACATATTGTTCGAATGCTACGATGAATAGGAAGTTCAAGAGGGTAATTGTCTACAAAAGTAATGTATAAGGGATTATAAATATTGCTAGGCTTGAATACAAGATGTGATATATTGAGGTGGTCATGAACTAGTTGATCTGCTTTATTGTTAAATATGTCATTCTGGTGTGCTTTAACTTTGTGAAAGGTAATTTTTAAGTTGTAGAATTTAATAAAATTAAGGAGTGAATTCTACATAAACCAGTATGGAATATTTGAGGTCTTGACATTGGTTGTTTGCTGAGTTAGGCTATTGTACTTGGAGATTACAGATTGGGAGTCTGTAAAGATGTGAATATTACAGTTTCTGGGTGCAGTGCATATAGCAGATAGTATTGCAAATAATTTAGCTTTAAATGAACATGGCTATAAAGAAATTTGAGTATGGAATGTTTGAAGAATATTATTGTTATCGACCTGTAACCATCCAATACCCACGTGCATAACCTGATGAACAAAAATTTATAGCCTGCTACATACAGGTGGAGGGCTCACACAGCGCTTCCAATGTACAGAGAAACACAAGCAAAATTACTGGAAAATCATTTTACTAATAAATCTATTTATACCAAGAAATTATCCGAAACAAAACAAATAGATCGCCTGGTGCGATACAAACATAAAACCAGAAAAATTAAGTGTTACAAATAACATGTCGCAATAAGAAAAATCGCATAATGCTAAGAAAACAAAGAAATTACAATTACTCATCGTTTGCATTATCCAGTAAGTCCAAG